CCAAGGTTGCCAAGACCTCAGTGTTCAATTGCTTGCATTTTGAGTGTGAGGGGCCGCAACCTGTGTCGGTAAGCGGGGAATTCCGATCAACTAGCTACGATTTTTAGTTTTCTTGTAATTCTGATTCTCCCAAACCCTTGTAATTGTGTTTCAAAGGTCTACCCCCTTAACGTTACGGAGTTCACATTTTATCGTTTTAAACAGCTCTAGTCACCCACAGTTGCAATAGTTTAAGGTTTTTAGCATTGCACCAAAGAATACTACTGCTTTTCAGTATCTAGCCGGGATAAAAGCTTTTCGGGAAAGTATCATTACTTGTGAGAGAAGAGGCAGTGGAATAGAAATGGGCCGCTAGTTTTAAATTACGTTTATTCGAAGTGCAGCAGACATTCTGGGTAAATACAGTTTTACTACGCAGTGCATTTTAAATTTCAGCTGGGGACTCTTTCACATGGAATCCAATGACATAAAGAAGTCAGCTGGGTATACAATTGTAGACTTTATTTTGTGTCAAACAACCACACCTGGAACTATTACAGGAATGATTTAAGGTTCACTGTCTGGGGTAAAGACAAAAGCTGGAACCTTCCATTTGGAACGTTTCAAGTATAAACTTTGGGAATAACGTGGACTATGGCTTGTAAACAGTAAGTTGCTTGCTTTGCTTTTCGCATTCCAGCCTCAATCCAAAAACGGTAGTGCCCATATGGTAGAACGGGAACAATCGGAAAGGACATATTCATGGTTTTATTGAAGTAGGCCACCTGCTAAAAAATGAGAAACGCATTAGGCCATTCCAATAGGGTGTTCTAGCTGTGTATCATAAAAAGCAAGAACTGTATTGATTTTCACCCCTTTAGCTCAAAAATTGGCCGAGAATGGACTATTGAAATGGCACTCGGAAAATATTGCTACGTCTCAAATATTTTTGGCTAAGCGATTAGCAAAGCCTTTTAATGCAGTGATGATCAAAAAGTTTCACGTTCGTCTGTCATCACGATAACTCGAAAACGAATAGGGTGTGCCAGGCTATCTAAAACGGAAGTAAAAAAGAACAAACTCACCGTTTAATCTGTTTCGATCTGCTCAGTATGAAAAATTACCATGGTAGTTTGGTCAGATTCTGACCACTCAAATATGGACGGGAGCTCGTAACTGATCGGACAGATTTTCATGCCTGGAAGGCCGCCGTGGCACGTGATCAGCTCAACCAATCAGAGCCATCACGGAAACAGAAATGTTAGTGAGTTTGTTCTTTTAGGTAGCCTGGAATACCCTAGTCGTCTAGGTAGAATCCACAGGGTCAAACTGTCGTCCGTTTGACTCCAGGAGTCAGTCCGCATGGAACGCGCTGTTTTTCTATAGCTATCTCCCTAGCACGCGACAGTTGTAGAGGCGACAGTTATCGAGAGTCCACTGTACATCTATCTAGGCCTGCGGCGCTGACACCCGAGTCGGGCGAAAGGCACTCTCGTTAATAGGCCATTGGCCCCAAAAGTCACAAATTTTTCTCTTGGGGGTTTTATTTTGACGAGTGTTCTCACTAGAGACCATCAAATAACTAAAAACACATACAAATATTTTTGGGTAATTTCAGTGTGAAAATCGCCGACTTGTGCCCTAACGGTTAGAGATAGAGCCAAACGGACAACATTTCTGATCTGCGGGGTCTCCTTTGACGAATTACCTCTAAGAAAGATGTAATTTTTTTTTTTTAAACAAATATTTTGGGCTCTTTGTTTTTGATATTATTGATAGGCCAATTTTTAAGCAAGAGGGCCGAAAATTATTGCAGTTCTTGCTTTTTATAACACAATGTTGCACTGAATATTTTTTAGGTACCTAGCTTAATCCGTTCTCGAGTTATCGTGATGACAGACAGGTAGACTCGAAACTTTTTGATCGTCAATTGAGTAATAGGCTTCGCTGATCGCTCAGCCAAAAAATCAGAAGCCACAATTGTGGCTTCTTCGACTTAAGTCGCTAAAAATTTGGTTTGGTGTCTTCTGGCGGCAGATTTGGAGAAGACTCCTGCAAGAACAAAAGCATGAACAGGCTGTAGTACGCCTGTTGAGCCAACCAACCTTGCATTTCGATGTAGAGCAAACTGTCAGATCAGTTTCGAGCTCCCCTCCATATTTGAGAGGTTAGAATCGGACCAAACTGCCATGGTAGTTTCTCATACTGGGCGGACGGAAACAGATTAATCAGTGAGTTTGTTCTTTTTCACTTCCGCTTTAGATAGCCTGGAACACCCTATTGTGACTTTTGGGGCCGAAGGCCTATTTACGACTCTTTCTTTGTCCCGACTCGGGTTTCAGCGCCGCAGGCCTAGGTAGATGTATGCCAGGCGCGTCGCAGCGTAACAGTGTTTCGTGAGATATCGCGAAGCCTGTTACGCAAGACGTGGTCTGGCGTACATCTACCTAGTACTCCAGTGATGATCAAAAAGTTTCGCGTCTGTCTGTCTGTGTGTGTGTGGTTTGTCTGTCATCACGATAACTCGAGAACGAATTGAGCAAGCGACCTAGGATTTTCAAGGTCGTTTTGTGTCATAAAAAGACAGATCAAGTTCGAAGAAGAGCATTCTAGATCAAACATTGGATTTTTAAAAAATCAAACACCACAGGTCCCACAAATAACGTTCTTTAAAAATATTTTTTTACAGTTTCCTTAGGGGTAACTTATC